TGAGCCCTCCTTCCCTCCTTCCCTCCCTTCCTCCTTCCCTCCTTCCCTCCCTCCCTCCTTCCCTCCCTCCCTCCCTCCATCCTTCCCTCCCTCCCTCCTTCCCTCCTTCCCTCCCTCCCTCCTTCCCTCCCTCCTTCCCTCCTTCCCTCCCTTCCTCCCTCCCTCCTTCCCTCCCTCCCTCCTTCCCTCCCATTCCTTTCCTCCCTCCATCCTTCCCTCCCTCCCTTTTTCCCTCCTTCCCTCCCTCCCTCCTTCCCTCCTTCCCTCCTTTCCTCTTTTCCTCTTTTCGCTCCTGTTGTCTGTCTTTCCCTTTTTGTTCCTGCAGTTGCGTACTTCTTGGGAACGCATTTTGTAGAAAGTCGGTAGCCAGCCAATCCATCAAGAGCTGTCAGCCACACCTCCAGCGGGCAATGACTCCTGGGAACATGGTCTTGATGTCCTTCCCCAATCCACACCCCTGAGGAGGGGTGGCCAGAGAAAGTCCTCAGGAGGACAAGATCCAGGGCCCCTGGAGGCCCTGTCTGACATGGGTGGGACTGGAGATGTGCGATCTGGAGGTCTGATGACAGCGGCAGGAGTCCCCGCACTGGTGGCTCTTCCGTGTTCAAGGCCCCCACTCATCACCCTCTGCAACAAATACAACCTGAGCCCCTGGGGAGCAGCAGGGCCCTAAGCACCGGAAGGTGGAGCCCAGCATGTGACTCACCCCTGAGAGGAGAGACCTCTCGGCGCACCTGGTGATGGCTCTCACCGAGGCCCGAGCGTGCCAACAGTTCATCAAAGAACGGCCCAGCTAATGATCGGCTGGGCCGATAATCGGGGGAGAGTTAATTGTAAGGTTCGATGTGGCATCTTGTCAGCAGAGATAAGTTGTCACGTTTTCCACTTGAGCTGAAACTAAATGATTGTAAAATAAGTTATGAGTGTCCTTGGGCCTGTCTGCCGGAATGATAGCTAAGAATACATTCCTGGCCCATCCGTCTCGAGCGGGCTGCTTGATATTTATGTGAGCAGAATGTTATTTTATTCTCCCTCAAGTCATGCTTGTCAGCTCTCCCCGTGAAAAGTGAAAATGCTTCTTTGACTCATACTTCACCTACTGAAGCTCAGAGAGACTGCAGATTGTGTTCATTATTGCTCCTCTTATATATTTTTGGGGGTGTACGTTGAACATTGATGCCTGATTGGGAAGAACTAATGGCTGACGCTGAATGTAGAGTGTGGCCCGGTCCATCCCAGATCCTGAGTCTCGGCGGCAAAGCCTCTTCAGACGCGGAATAATGACACACCTGCTTTTTTAATCTGGCAGGCCTTGCCTCTCTCCGCTTCTCCCTTCCCACGTTTAATGCCGTCAGTGGCAGTCCCGCTGCTGGTAATTGATACAAAATGAAATGCGTTCTTCCTAAGCAGCTGGAGCCCACGGCTGGCCCTTGTGTCTGTACGGGGGAGTTGGGACATGTGGAATGGACACCCACCTGCTGGGGCTGCTCATGTTTTAGACTAGTTTCTGGGGAGTCTTGCAATCTGAGAGCGAGCCAGGTATTACTATACCCTAGTACAGAACCGTGCATACAACCCGCACGCCCCCCCTCCCCTGCCCTCAGTGCAGAACCCAGGTAACCAGAAACATGCTGCCCACACCACAAGGCCGTACCCTGCCTGGCTGTCACCCCAGGCCATTGTGTGGGCCTCCCTCCACCTCCTGTCTCCCTTGGCCCTCACCATAATTTCCCGCCACCATGGCATTCTCGGTGCGCGGCCAGGCTTCCCTGTGGCTCACTCCATCATCCGGCTACAGAGCTGCTGCCGCCTTCGTCCTCAGCCAGTGTGCACTGGTGAATCCTGCCCGTTCCTGCCAGCTTCGCCCAAGCCTTCGCTCCAGTACTGTTCCCCACCCCAGCCCAGTGCATATGAGGGCTGGGCACAGTGCCGCTGTCATCCCCAGCGCCCAGCACCGGGACGCCGAGGTGGGCAGAGGGGAGAAGGCGGCCCCACATCCTCATCTCCTCACCTGCACTGCCACTTCCGCCTCAGCTCCAGTCTTAAGTGGGCAAGGGTAATCACCTGGGCCCACCTGGGGGTCCTGGGATACCATGACACTGACTGACCAGGGCTCCACCTCACCCAAGACTTCTGAATACCAGCCTTGCTGCCCACAGCATTGTTGAGATCGCCATACTTTTATTACCACATGACATTCTGTGTTATCTTGGCTGTACCCCTATGTCTCTCCCTCTCCTTTCCTCTCCCCTCTTCTCCCCTCCTCTCCCTCCTCCCCCAAGCCTCTGCTGGCTCAGCAGTAGCCGTTTCATCTTCTCATGGGGTTCGTCTCTGGCCCCTGGGTGCTGAGGAGTCCCGTGGCCATCCTTATCTGTGGATGTGCAGTCAGGCCTCCCCTCCCTCCCTCCCCCCCATGCAGCCACACGATTGGCATGCTGGCTGTAGGGGTCCCTCCCCCCCCCATGCAGCCACACGATTGGCATGCTGGCTGTAGGGGTCCCTCCCCCCCCCATGCAGCCACACGATTGGCATGCTGGCTGTAGGGGTCCCTCCCCCCCCCATGCAGCCACACGATTGGCATGCTGGCTGTAGGGGTCCCTGGTGGTTCCCTGTGCTGGTGTGGGGACCAAGGAAAACAGTCTGTTCTTGAATGCATTGAGCAAGAAACCAGGTGTTATTTTTAGTCCTTAGGATCCTACTCATAGGAGCGACTTTATTTCTATTGGCTCATGGGAACAAAGGTTCCTTTCTATTGGCCAAGGGGACAAGAGTTCATTTCTATTGGCTCATGGGGACAAGAGTTCATTTCAAATGGCTCGTGGAGACAAGGGTTCCTTTCTATTGGCTCATGGAGACAAGAGTTCATTTCTTTTGGCTCATGGGGACAGGGTTTATTCTTTATTCTGTGGCAGCAGCTGATCAGAGCATGCTCAGTAAGTGTAGGGTGAGTGTCAGTTACTTCCTGTCAAGAGACTCCAGTCATGACCTTTAATCTTGACCCAAATGTAGATTCCAGACAGTTGGAAGCATACAGGACAGTGGTCTGACTCATAGGCACGCGTGGGTAGTTTCCAAACTTAAGTGGCAAAGCTGATTGCTCTCTTCTGAGACATAGCAGAAGGCAGGTCATCTCCTGCCTTCAGGGGTAAGTGCTCTCAGAGTTCACTCAAATAAAATGGAGCATCCTTCTGGCAAAGAGGGTACACCAACGTCCTGCGTCCATGCAGCTGATGTGATGGTGAAACAAAGAAACATGGCATCCAGGCACCGGAGGCTCACACCTGGAATCCTAGCTACTCAGCAGGCTGAGACCTGAGGATCACGGTTCAAAGCCAGCCCAGGCAGGAAAGTCCCATGAGACTCTTACCTCCAATAAACCACCAGAAAACCAGAAGTGACGCTGGGACTCAAGTGGTAGAGCGCTCACCTTAAGCTAAAGAGCGGAGGGACAGCACCCAGGCCTAGAGTTCAAGCCCCACGACCGACAGAAAAAAAGAAACAAATGGCAGAGGTAACAAACACGTCATCACCATGTTGAAAGAGCCTCCACACCATCGAGACAGGAGGCCAGGCCCGGCCATGGCTACGGACAGTCCTGCCTGTCTCAGGACTCTCGGCCTCCTGGTTTTCTTCCCATCCAGAGGGTGAGATGAACAGGCGGGCAGGTCAGAGCTCTGTGAGGCCACTGGAGCACGCCCCTTTTGGCCTGAAGCCAGTCACCAGAGCAAGGACATCAGAGTACAAGACTTCCAGCCGCGGTGGCTCCCCGGGTGACGGCAGTGTCCAGCCACCGCAGCGCTGCCCCTCACGGGGGTCTTGACGAGGATTTCTCAGCCTCCCCAGCACCCTGGATGGCGGTGGCCATGACCGGTACCCAGAGGACAAGGCAGTCGCTGGGCAGGTGTGCCGCGGCGCTGCCTGCTGAATCACAGTAAAGAATCTGGAGACATGGGAGGCCACTCCCCCAGAGCTCCACGCGCCCTTCCGGTGGAACCCCCCAGTCATTCCTGATAGCTTAGCATTACGTGGCCTTCTCTTTGGTAAAGATAAAAATAAGCAGTAAAAGCAAGCCATGGCTCACGTCTATAATCTCACCTACACGGGAGGCAGATCAGGAGGATCGAGGCTTGAGGGTAGCCAAGGCAAAAAGTTCACAAATCTCCCACCAATAAAAAGCTGGGCCTGGTGGCACACATCCGTCATCCCAACTCCATGGGACGCCAGAGGATCATGGTCCACCCAGACATAAACACACGGCCTTACTTGGAAAATTACAAAAAAAAAGAACTAGAGGCATGCACGGTTCAAGTGGCACAGCACCTGACTAGCAATCCTGAGGCCCTGAGTTCAAATCCCAGTACTGCCAAGAAACATATAAAGAAATAATAAATAAAGAGTAGGGTTGGAAAGGTGGTTCAATGGTAGAGCACCTGCCTTGAGTGCATGAGAGTGTTATTTCCAGTGAAGCATATATGTCATGTTTTAAAACTTTGATGAGTAGCTTTAATGAATCAACAACCGAATGTCTACTTTATTGATTCCAAATTCAGTTGCAAGTTCCCTAATTACAAAAGGAAACGAAGTTACATTCTCATGCAGTGTCACGGTGCTATGTAAGGCTGCAGAGCGGTCCTGTGCCCACACAGGACCAAACCCACCAAAGATGGTATTGATGGATTCCTGATAAACGAAAAGGAAACAGGAAGCATCAGTTCACCACTTTGCTTTTCTAGGTAACCAGGACTTCAGTCATGCAAAGCAGGGAGTTTTCGGTTCTCCTTAGACAGAGGTGATGGCAGGAGCCATCTGGTCTACCTGGCAGGCGGCACCTGACCCTCTTGCTGTGATCTGCTCCTGCCCGAGGCTCCGGCCTGCCCTCCAGCAGCCCGGTGATCGCTTGTCATGCGTGTGGTGGCAGAGCGGTGCTTGAGTGTTTTTGCTGAGTCTGCTTTTCCTGTGCTTACCTTTGCATTCTCTTGCTTTTTCCGGTGCGGTGGCAGACACGGGCCTGGGCGACTCCGTGTGCTCCAGCCCCAGCATCTCCAGCAGCACCAGCCCCAAGCTCGACCCACCCCCCTCCCCCCACGCCAACAGAAAGAAGCACCGGAGGAAGAAAAGCACCAGCAACTTCAAAGCCGACGGGCTGTCCGGCACCGCTGAAGGTGAGTCCCCCCGGCTCCAGGGTGAGCGCCCGCCCTGCACAGCACTGACTCATGAGTTCAGATGCCCCTGGGATCATCACCAGGCACAGGCATGTAGGCCACCATAGGTATTCTTCTCAGCACGGGCTGGGGACAGTTCTGTAGCACTCAGATGAGTCCACACAGCTGTGGCCTCACCCTGGTCCAGTCACTGCTTCGCTGGTAAGACTGCTTCCCATCATGCACCTGACCGAGTCCTGCAGGCCTGCCCGGCCCAGGCTGCCCGGGGTGACAGCACCCACCCAGGTAAGCGGGACCAGGGTTCAGCACCCCTCCCCAGGTCCTCGCTCGGGCTGGCTCATCTGGCTTCTCGCAGTAGCCGCGGTGTATTCTGTCGGTGCATATACCGCTCCGCAGTTCTGCGTCCCGGGGTCACATCCAGGCTTCCTGAGTCCTCAGCCTTCCACAACAGCCCAGCGCCATCTTTCTGCAGCAACTTCTGCAAGTGAAGCCCCTTCTTGTGATTACCTCACAGACACAGTGGAGATGCACGCACTTAGGTGCACACACAGCCCACAGGGCAGGAGGGTGAAATGAACGCAGCCATAATGCGCAGAAAGGCGCAGGCGTGCTTCAGGGGAGTGTGCGTCCCCCGTGTGTCACGAGGCAGCACTTCTTATTTCTGAGCCTGGCAGCGACTGAGACCATCTTCCGCAGCACCTCCACACTTGGCTCTTCAGTTCTCTTTCTCAGATTCTGCAGTACTTTCTCTGAATACGCCACTGATTGGAGCGTTCGCAACCACAGGTTAGGGAGCGTGGCCTTTCCCGTGTGGGCGCTGAGCAGGGCGTCCATTGTTCATGAGGTGGATGGCGTTCCAGGCTGCGTGGGGAGACTGGGGTCCAGACCCTCAGAGCTTGAAGCTCCTTGAGAGACTGGAAGTCCTTCCCCTGGCCGCCATTGTTTCCGTTCCTCCTCCATAGGCTTCCTGCTCATAAGGTTAGCGAAGACTGGTTCTCCCACACCATGATAAATGAGGTGTCCTTTGTATCCACCACGGTGGAAAACAATGGCTGTGAGTCCTCCACCGCCCGCTTCCTGTAGGGAGAGGTTTGGTTCCAGTGCCAGGCATTGGTGAGACTCCAACCAAAAACCAGTCGGCACAAAGGGCCGCAGCCACCCTGACGCCCAGAGGCCCAGGCTCAGAGCCTAGCCAGGGGCAGGGCACAGCCGCCGAGCTACACAACCACGGACAGGGAGAAGGGAGAGCTCTGTGGATGTGTGCCTCCGTGTATGCCCTGCCAGCGACTTTGTATGAAAAGCACAACCTAGTAAGAACAGTGCCCAAGCCTCCTGTAGGAAGGTAACAGGCTCGTGGACGTCCTCCTCCTCTCTCCTGTTGCTGTCTGCTGTGGGCACGGTGAAGGACCTGCGAGGTGGGTGTTTAGCACGCTGGTCCCCTGAGATGCTGAGCGGAGGGGGGTCATCGGGGTGCCCAGGCGAGCGCCCATCACCCACGACGTTGAAGGACCTGCGAGGTGGGGTTTAGCACGCTGGTCCCCTGAGATGCTGGGCAGAGGGGGTCATCAGGGTGCCCAGGCGAGCGCCCGTCACCCACTGTTGGGGAGTGTCAGTCCTGCAGCAGCACAGGCCCCCGAGCACCAGCGGGTACTGGCGCGCACCACAAAGGCCCCCACAGAAACAGCCAGATCAGAGGCTCTGAGGCTCTGACGCGGGGCTGACTGAGGGGTGACGCATGCCCAGAAGTTCTGAAGCCCCAGGGGGCTTCCTGCAGCCCTCCGTGACATCGGGGGCACGCGGGACTTTCTCTGAGAAAGTTAGCCTATCGTGCTGTGAGTGAGTCACTCCCGAGCACACGCTTTCATTATTTCTAAGGCAGTTCTTTCGCTACGCCGCAGCAGCTGGCCTTGAACTTGCGCCTCCAGTGCTGGGAGTTCAGACTGTACCACGTGCTTTCACATTTTTGAAATCCTATCCTGGAAATCACTTTGGATTGAATGGGGCACAATATTTTTAGTCTTGAGGATGATTAATTCTTTTTTTTTTTATTGTTGTCAGTCATGGGGCTAGAACTCTGGGTCTGGGTGTTGCCCCAGAGCTCTTCAGCTCAAGGCGAGCACTCTACCACTTGAGCCTCAGCACCACTTCGGTTTTCTGGTGGTTAAGTGGAGATAAGTGTCTTACAGACGGACTTTCCTGCCCGGGCTGGCTTTGAACGGTCATCCTCAGATCTCAGCCTCCTGAGTAGCTAGGGTGACAGACATGAGCCACCAGCGCACATTCTCTCCTTGAATTTGAAACCGATTTCCTCTGTTTTCCCTTTGGAGGATCGTGTGTGTGTGTGTGTGTGTAAGAACTCACTTCCGGCTTGCACGCATTCAGGGTGCTGCTGTTACTGCCCTGTGCCCTGCCTGCAGCACAGCCTCCTGCCACTGTTGGACATGGGGCGGTTCTTTAGAAGTCTGTAAGGAAGGCTGTCATGGCTTCCTTGTTATAATGAATGCCTGGATTCCAAACTCCCTTGAGAGTAAGAAAAGCAAAATTATAGTGACATCAGCTAACTCAGGGTCCCGGGCCAGGGCAGATGCATCTCACACTAGTCCTTGGGGACAGGCTCTGGGGCGCCTCAGGTGTGGAAGAGAGCTGGGAGGGTGGAGACAGGGATGGGGGAGTGTCCCCAGCAGGAGCCATGGCCTTCGAGGGAGAGGGACACAGGCAGTTCAGCCACAACAGCAGATTCAGGGAGCCCAAGAAATGCCCTCGCCACCAAGATTCCCCTCCCTCTCACTTCCTCTGCCTGCCCCTCGGCCCCAGCTAGACCGAAGCTGGGAACTAGCACGGGCCACGTGGTCTACACACATCCCTGGGGAAATCTGGCAGTGGTGACACTGGCTTTCCGCACGTGCCATAGACCAGAGCCTCTGGGGGTGGGGGGAGGTGTGCACTGTCCACTCTCCCCCACACTGCCCTCCATGTCATCGCCAGCTGCCACACAGGCTCTGGGCTCCCAGCTCAAGCTAGAGGTATGCATCGCTAGCATCTGTGCCGCCCCCACCCAGAAACACTGCCCACTGAGCCCGGCCCTGACCAACAGCAGCAGAGTTCCTCCAGTGGTCTGCCCCCCTACCCCACCTGGGCCTTCCCTACGGAAGCCCACTAGTGAGCACAACGCCCCCTGCCGGAAGGTGCCCCACCAGGCTCACAGAGAGCCCTGTTTCCTTGTATTTACTATTTAAAGGGAATTGGCTGCATCTCATAACCGAAGAAGCAGCCTGTGACTTACAAGGAACTTACAAGAATTATTATAAGACGTATAAAGAATTTCATATCTTCATAAACATTTTTCATATCTTCATAAATTCATATCTTCATAAATATTTTTGGGTTCCACCATGGTAGCTTGCTTGACTCCTGCCTGGTGATTGTCAGAGAGGATTTCCCGTGATCAAGCCAGTCCCTGGACTCTTCAATAACCAAGAGCATCATTTCTCCAGTCACAAAATGTATCATTACTCCTGCTGCTTGAAGACAGTATGAGCTGAGAGTGGGTGGTGAGCTCTCCCCAGCTGGTTTGGGTGGCCCTGTGCTCCAACACTGCATTTCTTGGTGAGGCGCATGCGTGCTCTGATGGCTGGTGGCCCAGGGGTGTAGCCACCCGGCAGGCCTGGCCCCTCCTGCAGGGAGGATCTTTTTTGCTGTCTACAAGTCTTTGTGCTTACATTAAAATTTCGCAAGTTCTGTGCTCTCCCCTGTGATGTTATACCACTTCGTCAGGAAAAGTAGACCAAAAGTAGCATCTTACTAGTAAGTTGGCTGCTACATTTCAGGAGGAAATACAAATGAATGGTCCAGCCTTTTCACCATTTTTCTCTGTCGCTCACACTTGGAATTTTCTAATTCTTTTTTCATTAGAAACATGTAGAATAGGAGCCAAGCACAGTAGTCCACACCTGTAATTATAGCTATTAGGCAGATTCAACTTTTGAAGTCAACTCAGGCAAAAAGAATAGTGAGACTGTCTCAAAGAACAGATAGACATGGTGATGCACACCTGTAATCCCAGCTACACAGGAAACATACATAGGATAAAAGTCTGAGGCAAGGGGAAAGGGGGAAAAAATAGCAAAAGCAAAGAGCTAGAGATGTAGTTCAAATGGTAAGTAAGCATGTAGCCTGTGCCTGAGTTCAAGCCCCAGTAGAAATGAATGAATGAATGAATGCACCAGGGCTAGTAATACTTTAGCACTGTTGGTACAGTGGTAGGATGCTTTTGGAAACGAAGGCGGCAGCAGCCTTGCTTTCCGTTTCTCTTTGCATTCCTCCTAGTTTCATTTAACAGTCCGCTGGCAGCACTGAAGCATCACTGAAACATTTGATTTGACGAGGATTCCCAAGCATACTTAAGAAAATGGGATGTGCCATTCCTGTCTGTAGCCGAGGGGTGCTGGGGACTGAGCCTTGTTGTGGAGGGACACTGAGTGACTAGCAGAAGGGGACGAGGAGCCAGAGCAAACTCTTGTGCGTGTTAACAGATGGTCCGAGCGTGCAGGGCAGTCTGACAGGCTTCAAGTAGATGGGTTTGAGTACAGGTATTCCAAGGACATTTTAGGAGCCAGGCTTTGAGGAGAGGCAGTGACCCCACCATGCCTGCAGGGGTAGCACGGCCTAGCCACTGTAGATCAGTAAGGGTTCTAGGCACCAAGACCCCAGACTCCAGGGCAGAAGCAAGTTGAAGGGTGTGTGCCAGGGTGAGCTCTTGGTCCTTGAAGATTTTTCCAGATCCTTAATGAGCTGGCCCCTTCGGCCGTTGTCTCTGAGTTGTAGCACATTCTGAAGACCTTGTTATCTCAGGTCCCAACTGCGAGCTTCTCATGGCGGAGATGAGGTCTCTGAGGTCCCATTCTGTGGCCCCCAAACCTGGGGGTTCTCGTTCATTTCCTAACATTCATGCAAGTATACATCAAGTGCTAATTTCCGTGTTTCCCCAGTGAAAAGGATGA